TCTATCTATCTATCTATCTATCTATCTATCTATCTATCTATCTATCTATCTCTATCTATCTACCGATCAATCATCTATCTATTGATTGATCTGTCACCTAGCTATCATCTATGTATGTATATATGTATACATATATATGTATGTACCACCTATCTGTCATGTGTATTTGTATGTATGTTATCTATCTGTCTATCTACCTACCTATCACCTATCTCTCTGTCTGTCTGTCTGTCTGTCTATCCATCTGTGTGTGTGTGTGTGTGCACATGCCACATTGCACAAGTGGAGGTCAGAGGAGAACTTGTAAGAGTTGGTTTTTCCTTCCATGTGGGTTTTGGGAATTGAACTTAGGTCAGCAAGTTTGATGGCATGAGTCTTTGTCCACTGAACCATCTTGTTGGCCCTAAGTGTACTTTTGTATTCATGCAGAAGATTGAGCCCAGGCCCTGATGCAAAGAGGCAACATTTTTACCACTGAGCTCCTTGCCCAGCCTGTTTGGTTGTTTTTGAACTTTTCCATTTTTTACCAGTCATCAAGTCCCTGGAGTTCTCATGCTTCATAGCACAAAATAAATCACTGAGACAGTATCATTTTTTTACATGAGCTGTGGGGTGTTTAGTTTTTTATCATCATGTTTCCCTGACAGTTTGGAAAAGACTTTGAGATCCTAGAGACCAAGATTCAGAGGAAAGAGGTGAGTCTTGAAGGTAGCCTCAGATCCTCCAGGTGTTGGGCTACTGTGGAATATCATGCCCTGCGCTATGAGGGGCCCAGGGCCTGCCTTTAAGTTAGTTGCCTCTGACTGGAGTTGAACCTCCTGGGCTCCCACCTGCATTCTGGTGCCCTGGCACAGCCTACCTCTTGGATTTAGGAAGGCAGGCTTCCCGGTTTCCCATTGTCCTATTCAGGGAGTGTCCTCAGCCTCCATTTCCCATCTAGACAGCATGAGGAATGGGCTCTTGTGGGACCAAGAGGGAAGGAAGGTGCCTGCTGAAGTGCACAGCCCCTACCTGCTCAGTGCCCTACTTTCTCAACAGCTTGTGCTTGTCTCTTAGAATGTCATCTGTTGTCTTCTCCTCCTGCCCGGTAACTGCTCTGTGTGGTCTTCCCACAGATGTGTCCAGGTGTGTGGCTGAGAGGAAGTACACCCAGGAGCAGGCCCGGAAGGAATTCCAGCAAGTGTTCATTCCGGAATGCAATGATGACGGCACCTACAGTCAGGTGATTCACGCTGCTGGGAGATGCTAAGCCTGGACCGTTGAGGTTGAGGTACCAGGAATGGGGGTGAAAGGGAAGGAGCCAGAACGGTTGAGTGCGAAATGGTCATCATGTTTCTGAGAGCCAGCCTCAGGAGCCTCTTGGCATAATGAGGTATATGAGGGAGGGTTCCAGACCCAGCTGGCACAGTGTCTGCACTCAGCTCTGGTGAGTGCATCCTTGTCACGCATGAGTATGGCATGAGACAGTTCTCTCAGAAAGGCTCACAAGCCCTGGTCTACCGGGTTTGATTGTAGCTTAGCTCACTCACGAGCCCCATGACTCAGCCATCCCACTGAGTCCACAGTCGGATGCTGCCACATCAAGTCATGGCCTGCCTATGGTCACGCTGTTGGCCAAACGCTGTCAAAAATAGCTTGGTTCCAATTTGAGAAAGTCAGTGCTGTTATTGAGAGCTGTCTGCAGTATGCTGCCAGAATAGTAGGTTCCGGGGGCTGGGGTGGGGCCAGGAAAAGCATTCTGCTATCAATACCTATGATCTCGTCGGAAGTGCGAGTCCACGTGTCTCAACATAGTCATGTGACATTTGGGAGATGAAGGGAGAAAGGATGGCATGGGGGAGGAACTTTGCTGGATGTCCCTTAGGCTGTGGTCACCTGAAGATCAGACAGAGGGCTGTCTGCGGGGAACATGAGGTGATGGAGAAATGCTTTTTCACCGCTGGACTCTCTCTCCTCTCCCTGAGCCAGCCACAAGCTCACTGAGAGGCAGTGGGGACTGGCTTATCCCACGTGTGAGGGGAGGGCTTGAGGTTCAGGGAAGCAGCCCTCACTGCCATGCAGCGAAGTATACTCATCTGTGGTGAAGCTCAGCATAGAGTTTCCACCCAGCAGCCAAATGCAGCCACCGAGAGCCTCTGCCATCCTCAGGCCTCTGAGGTGACTGTCTGCGGTGAGCTCACTTCCTGTCCTTCCTCCGCAGGTCCAGTGTCACAGCTACACGGGGTACTGTTGGTGCGTTACACCAAATGGAAGGCCCATCAGCGGCACCGCCGCGGCCCACAAGACGCCCAGGTGTCCCGGTAGGTCTAACAGCCAGCTCCACTTTCTGTTTCCCCTGGGCATCTTACTCACACTTACTCACAAATCAAGAGAGGGGTTTCGGGGGAGCTCTCCAGACATGCCACTCCACACAGACCTGAGGTGAAAAGCAAGGACTTTTGTCCACACACTGGTGTGTGGGGACAGCTCACCCTAGGGACACACTGGGCTTGAATCATTTGAAAATATAACCACAGAGGCTCCAGTCACCAGCTTGAATGACCCATTGTTTTCTTTGGCCAAAGAAAGCAAAAGGTCTTGCTTTTATATATGTGTGTGTGTTTTCAAAGAGAAAGTGGATCGTTGCTCGCAGTTCAGTTTCCAGACATTTATGTGTGATGTTTTATTACTCAGACGGGAGCTTCATGTACTGAACGTAACAAGGCTGGCAGGCTCACAGTCTATAAAATGGTCCCTTTTCCATTAATATTTTACCAAAAAAGGTTATACATGATTCAGATCATTTTTATGTGAAAATGGTCTCCAGCCCGGGCCTGACTAACTGGCTGGGAGTCTCTCTGATGAAGCTGAATGATCTTGTCTCATCAACATTTCTGGCCTTTCATTTGAACTAGGCAAACCTATCAATCAGTGGCTAGCACGTTTCCCCAAGTTTGTCCCTTGGACCGTGTGACAGATCTCTGAAACCCACGTGCTGTGTGTCTTGTTTTATTTTAAAACGGCTTTGCCATTGAAACCTACAAGGTGCCATTTTTTTTCTTCCTGAGTTAATGTTTACATTGAATAGGTCCTGTATAAACTCATGGAGGAAAAGACAGAAAGGAGAAGTAGTGTCACTCGGGCCTTTGTGTGTGTCCCATCGCAGGCAACTGGGTTTTCATCCATGTGGCAGCCCTTTGCATGGAACCTACTCTCCTGGCAGAAAGCAGAAAACAGGGCATCTGCCATGATCCTAGCTGCACTGTCAGAAAAGCTGAGTCCTGTGTGAGCGCATTTCCTTAGAGCCGTGTGTAAGACTGTTGGGGTGCTCTGCCCTGCTGGAACACCCTTTGCTTCTGGAATAGACTGTGCCAGCTCTCCTACCAGGTGAAAATGATGTGTGATGGCGTGAAAGCTCTCCATTGTCACTGTTTGCACGGTCGTTACAGACAGAGAATGTTCTGGCCCTTCACTTAAAAGCCTAAGTGTGCGGTGCTTGGCCAAGAGGCAAAGGGATATGATGGAATTGTAAGCCTGGTGTAGTGGCCTCTAGCACTCTGGAGGCACAGACAGGGGAATGGAGAGTTCTAGGCCATCCTGGACTATGTAAAAAGACTTTGTTTCCAAAAATAAACCAAACAAAAGGCACTGCTTAGAAAGGACAGGGATCTTTGGGATGGCTGCCTCATTTAGAGGGAGCAGTGTGTGTGTGTGTGTGTGTGTGTGTGTGTGTGTGTGTGTGTGTGTGAGAGTGTGTATGTCTGTGGTATGTGTGTGTGTGTCTGTGTGAGTGGGTGTGTCTGTGTGATATGTGTGTATATGTGTGTGTATGTGTGTGATTGGCTGGTCTCTCCCTCCTCTATTAGGCTGGTGTCCTTTCTCACCAGGTTGGAATGACTGATGTATCTGTGGCTCCCACAGCGCAGCATGCTAAGGTTTCATTCTGCAAACCCATGGGGATGAGAGAGCTGCAATTATTTGTTAGCATTTCGGGAAACATCACTGGGCCGCGCTGAGCAACTGAGGGGTTTTGAAATTTAAGGGAGAGCTGTGGGGGAATTAAGCACCCCACTCTCACCCAACAGAGACACAATTAACAGTGTGCCTCTATGTAATGGAATGGGCTTCTTCCTATGTGGTGGCACAGCCTGACGGAGAAGTGGGGAAATGGGAAATGGGTGTCACTTTACATCTGTCTGGGTTTGAGTGTTGGCTAGCATGGCCTTGAGCTTGTGCTTTGAATATGCCTGTGTCCTCTGCAACCAGCCGATGTATAGCACAGGTGCTGCATGCTGTCCACCTGTTAAGCTTACGTAAAACTTCAGAATTCAGCACATAGCTTCTGCCTTCAAATTCACAACGAATTCACCATATAGGTATGCTCTATAAAACTGGAACTCAGAAACTAGGTTAGAAATGAACAGAAGACAGACAATTTCTGTTAAAATATGTGTATGTATGTCTGTGTGAATGTCTGCATGTAAACATGTATACATGGATGCATGTTTACATGTGGGTATGTGTATATGTAGGGATTTGTGTATCATGCGTATGTATGTGGTGTATGTGTATTTATGTGTGTGTATATGTGTATGTATGAATTTGTATCTGTATGTAGTTATAGGGCTATGTGTAAACATGCTCTGTAGCAGCCAGGTAGGAATAGGGGTAGATGTCCATTCTAGGTCTGTGTGCAAGCCTGGCCTAGAACCCCTCCCAAAGTCCTTCCACCCTTAGTTGTAGGAGGAAGACCTGGGTGAGCAGGAACAATCATTTCACAAGTTGAAGCCATGGAGGCAGAATACGTCAGTTCCTAAGTGGTCAAAGCAGTAGCATTTTCGAGAGGAGGGTGTCCTTGCTTCATAGCGACAGGGCAGCACAGGTTAGAGTCTTACTGTGACTCTTACTGTGACACAGGCCTGGAGACAGAAACAGCAGGTGCTGCTGCGGCGAGCTGGTGAGGACAGAGCGACAGAACCATAGCACTGTAAGCCACTCATTGAGGGTCCAGCTCTTCCCTTCTGGGAATGGGCCCTGGAGAAGCAGATATGTGGCAGGCCTACAGCAACGCTGGCTATAAAGACCAAACCCCAGGATGGGGGCCTGTTGATGTCTGTAGGATAAAACCCTAAGAGTGCCAGACTCACAGTAGGATAAACAGCAGTGCAGACAGATACACCCCTGTCTCCCTCGCTGGTGCCGTGGTGCTGACATCTGCGTGAGTCAGAGGAGCCACAGGAAAGTAGAACACAAGGCAGGGAATTTACAGCTCCCAAGTAGACAAAACCAACTCTGGTCTGGAGGTGTCCTGTGGGGACCACAGAGGAACAGTGCTGACAGGATGGATGTACCACAGAAGGGATTTATCAGATTGGCTTACAGGATGTGATCTGGGTAGTCCCACGGTGGCTGTCTTCAGAACTCAGTAGCCCATTAGCCCACGAGGCTGGATGCCTCCACAGTTTTAACCTGGGGCTAAAGGCCGGGAAGATTCCTGGAGCATCCCTGGTCTTTAGTACACGTTAGAAGCTGGGTTCTGATATCCACAAAGGAATGTAGCAAAGATAATGAGGCGAAAAGCAAAGCTTTCCCCTTACACCGCCTTTTTTCTGATCGCCACTGGAAGGTGATGCCCACAGTTAGGATTATCTTCCCACTTCAAATACCCTGATCTAAAAAAAAAAAAAAAAACCCCTCACAGGTGTGCTGAGTGACTTATGTCTTAGTTGCTTTCAGATCCATTCAGGCCGACAAATACCGTTAACATCCCAGTTTCCTTAAACATTTTTGTTTACGTTCTGACTGCTGAGCCACAGTTGTCCTGAGAGATTATGGTGGAAGTGACTTTATTCCTCTTTTAAAAACATGAAAAACCCAGTCTCTTTCACAGGTATCCATCATGCCAACCTCCCTTGATGGCTACTGATTGAATTAACAAGTGATCAGCCAATAAACCATAAGCCAGTGACCTCCCCATTCTTCTGTTTCCCCTGTGGAGATGTAGGTGTGAGGGGCAGAGGCCTCAGGCTGAAGAGGAAGTGTGGAGATGTCAAGCCCCTTGGACCTTTCCTCCTCATTCTGTCTGTCATCAGTGGGCATTCCTGAGCCACTGGTCTCTTCTTATCACAGGACAGTGCTGGGCTGGTTCTTGTGGCACTCCCGTCTGGACTTGTTTTGCAAGAAGCCCACTCACTGTTCAGTGTTATTGGAGCTGTTGCCAAACACTGGCAACCAGGAAGCCAGCAGTAGGTGGGACCTGGCGAATGCTGCTGCAGATGGGAGGCTGGGCCAGCAATGGACTAACTGCAGGCACATACAGGATACCATTCACTCTGTCCAGCAACATTCAGGAAAGTGCCAAGAGGGTTCTCATGAAAAAGGTCAGGCTTGGAGGGTATAGGAGAGGGTCTGTAGTACTCCTTGAGTACTGTTGACTCTGATGCCTCTTGGGTTGTGGCTTGCCCGCAGATCAGGTATGGAAAAATGGAGGGAGGCCTGCAGAATGGATTTTGGGGTGGGGTAGGGGGACGGCTTCAGGAAGCATGGTGACAGGGAGTTGAAAACAAAGGGTGCTTTTAGAGGTAGTGAGCTGTTCCCAAGTGACTTCCCACTTCCCCTCCTGAGAGGTGTTCCTTGCTCACTTCTGGAGTCTTAGGTGCAGCATGGAGCCCTCTATGCCCAGAGCTCTGGTCTGCAGCCGGTGCTTGCAGGCACCAGAAATGTCCAAGAGGAATGGCAAAGCATTCGTTCTACTTCCTCATGTCCTGTGCCGGTGAAGGGGATGAGACCTCCACACGGTCATACTTGTTCTTCAGGGATCTTATTTTCATTCTATCCCCCCTCCTCCTCCTCACCCTCCTCCTGCTCCTCTTTCTTTCTTTTCCATTTTCAAAGGCTGGCATGGCTGGGCATACACGCAGATGTTAAAAAACAAAGAATTCCCCCCCCCCCTCCACACATACACAGATGGTGCCTGAAGATGGGTAATGCTGTGATTTGGAAATAGCTTCGAGTTTTAATCTCATCTGTGCAACCTAAGCATTGACTGAGAGCTCATTCCTAGCCAGGTTTAAGAAATTGTAGGCTGATCCTTGTGCAAAGACCTAGAAAAGGTTTATTATTTGTACATGTGTATATGTGCCTGTGTGTTTATGTGCATGGGCTTTTAGATGGTGGTAGCAAACAGAGGGTGTCAGATCCCTTGGAACGGTAGTAACAGTAGTTGCGAGCTGCCTGATGTGAGTGCTTAGAACTGAGCTCAGGTCTTGTGCAAGAAAAGTGAGTGCTCTTCTACATTATCAGCCATCTCTCCAATAGAAGGACTTTCAGCATCCCAGTATCTGGAGAGTCTTCGCTTAGACCTTAGTGAGAACTTGGCCTTTGGAGTAGGCTTCAGATTTCAATTCTCAGGAGGGGAAAGAAGCAGAATGGCTTATATGTGGTGGCATCACAGTGCTTGGCCCCCATGCCAAGGACCACACTCTGGAGCTGAAGGCAGACAGATGCTCCAGTAAGGGTTAGAGATCTTGCCCAATAGACAGAACCACAGCAGAGGTGCTGGCAGCAGGCAGGCAGCTGCCTGCCACTGTCCATTTACTAACATGTTTTTAAATGTTCAAACTTGTGACCCGTGGTTTTATGGCCATTCTGACAGGACTGTGAAGGTTTGTGGTCTCTTCTGAAATCTTCTCACATCCGTATCTGCTGCTTGGTCCGGAGAATTCTACTCCAAGCTGTGGAAGACCCAGGGGTAAACTACAAAGGTCCTTAGATTGGACCAGATGGTCTTTCAACAGTTGGATGAAGAAATAAGATAGTCCCCGGCCCCAGCTAGCACAGTCTCTGTGAAATTAAATGGAAAAAATACTTGTGAACTCCCCTTTGGCATTCCTAGTTCTCACAGAGCTTTCCCCTCAAGTGGCCTAATAACTTTCTGAAAAGAATTAAAAGGCCTTTTATAAGCAAGTAGTCCCACTTTATGTCACTCATATAAAGAGCAGTACCTGGGCCCTGCTCAGGAGCTTCACACACAGACACGCCTGGGTGCCTGTATTTCTACCGAAAGCTTCATGCTGTCATGTCACTGTGCTGTTTATCCAGCACATGGTGGCATGGCAACTGATTGTACAAATGAACAAACAAGTTGGAGAAAGCTGATGATGGCTGAGGCCACAGTGGTGTGGCCGTGAGTGCCCCGTCCTAACGAGCTGGCGTGCTCCTCCACTGTCTATGTGTGCAGCACACAGAGCAACACCATGGGTCATTTTGTGGGGGCAGTCAGCATTGCTGCTGGCTTTCTTCTGTATGAGGTCACGCTTCGGTATGAGGTCACTCCACACTGCCCATTTGTTACTTTGTGGTTGTGGCTATTCTCGAGGCCGTCTTGCTGTGTAAGCATGGGCCAGCCTCAAGTTTGAGATTTTTTTTTTTCCTGTGCCTCAGCCAAGGGCTAGGATGACAGGCCTCATACACTCGGCTCATTTTGTAGGTGAGAAAATGGATTTAGAGAGGTAAATCTGCCCAGGTCACAGAGCTGGGATGAACTGAGGCTCAGATCTTCTCTTCTCCTTCTGTGCTGCATCTTTCAGTACTGGCTTGATGTTTCATGCCTTCTTGTTAGAGAACAAGAGAGCAGAAGCCACCTGCTAAGTGACAAAGGGAAACGTTTTTTCCTGACAGAGAGAGCACAGTCCTGTCTTTTCTCTTCCGAACCTCCCTGCTCTCCCCTCTTACACTCCCAAGAAAAGCCATGTCGATCTGTGGAGTCTGTGCTTTCTGGGATGATTCATGCTGTGTTAACTGTGCACTGAAGAAACCATTGTCTCTTTCAAGTGAGCCAGTGCCACCTGTGTGAGTAGATACCGTCACCCCTGCTGCTTCCCTAGTCTCCGTCCAGTCCATCTTTTACTTGGGAAAAGAGCTCGTGTGTCATCAGGACCCTGCCCGCTATGAGGTTGAGGGCATCCCCCTGTTTTTGCCAAGTAGGCTGGATCTATGTTGTAACCTGGGCTGCAAGGTCAATGATCCGGCACTCCTCCATAATTCATGGGCACCCCCTTACACTGTGGTTTTCTTCACTAGAAATGCCCCTCTGCAACTGCTAAAGGCCCCTTTCAGGAGACAGAAGCTCACTGATAGAGGACCTTTAGCCTGCCCTTCTGGTGCTGGTCTGCAGTGACACAGATCGGGGCATGCCACTGCGGACACCAAAGACAAGCAAGCACTGTGAGAAATCCCAGCTGCTCCATTGGGCTTGGATTCCCTTGCTTCTCCCACTGTCCTGGCTACAAATTTGTATTCAGCTCCCTTCCCAGTTCTTCATGACAGCACCTTTTAGGGAGGCTGGGACAGAAAGCTGTGGAGTCTTTGATCCCGGACAGGCTCTACCAAGTCACATTCCCTATTTCACAATGTTTGGATGGCAGAGTGTGCGATCAGGGACACTTGGTTCTGCAGAGAACCAAGAAGCTCTTTCCTACAGATGAAGATCAAGATAGAACTGTTTTTGGCTAGCTGTATATGCTGATTGAATGAGGGTCCCCCGTGAGCCCAGGGCTGGCTGCTCCAGGAGAACCTGGCCCATCCCCACCCCTGGGAGTGATGGTGGCAAGTTGTCGTGTCTTTTCTTGATCTTGTCTCTAATCAGCTTTCTGGTCAACATCTTGCCCTGCCTCATTCTCAGATTACAAAGGATTATCTTAGTTCAGTCTTGAAGCTCTCTCAAGGGAGTAGTTTAATTATCTAGAACAGTTCTATTTCACTCACAAATTGAAACCCACATACACGTGCTCAGAGAGAGTACCAAAGTCCTGCCATTTGCAGTCAAAAGAGGGAAAGCTTTGATTCATCATAGCTACATGTGGTGGAGCAAGGATGTGTCAACCCAGGAGCTCTGTAAGAAGCTGGTCCCTGGAGGTGGGGCTGAACAGGAAGCAATGGGAGGCTCAGGGTCAGCGATACAGAGCGGCCAGTTCTGATTCTTACCAAGGTAAACCTTGGCACCAGAAGCCACAGAACACGCTCACATTTCGTGGTGGGAGAAAAGTAGATGGGAATAAGAAGGTACCTGCCTTAGACAGCACCTGCCAGGGGTATTCCAGGATGTCCAGTTGTCTTTCTGGCCTTCTGGGTTGTGGGCTATGGTCTCAGTGTCTAAGGCAGCAGCTGGGAACTAGCAGGAAGACCTGGGATGTGCAGAGCTGCCCCCTGCCTTCCAAAAGCCTAAGAATTACTTATTTCCGTGTCTCCCAACACATTTTTATTGTTTTTCAAGAAACGCCAATTCCAGAGGCAAATAATTCTGAGGCTTCTGGAAGGCAGGAGGCAGCTCTGCATGTCCCAGCTCTTCCTGCTGCTTTCTAGCTGCTGACTGAGACACATGAGAGACCATAGCCCACAACCCAGGAGGCCAGAAGGACAACTGGACTTCCTGGATTACCCCTGCCAGGTGCTGTCTAAGGCAGGTACCTTCTTATTCCCATAATGGAATTGTGTGAAAGAAGGAGGAGATAGAAAGACCTGGAGGGGCCAGCAGCCCCAAAAGGAGACCAACAGAGCCAAAAATAACCTGAGCCCTGGGGACCCTGCAGAGACTGATACCCCAACCAAGGACAATACATGGAGAAAGAGGACCTAAAACCCCAGCTGAGCTGTAGCCCATAGACTCAGTATCCAACGGGGGTCCATAGTAAGGGAAGCAGGGGCTTTCTCTGGCATGAACTCAGTGGCAGGCTCTCTGATTACTGGCCCCTGGCCTTGCCAGGCCACAGAGGAAGACAATGCAACCAGTCCTGATGAGACATGATAGGCTAGGGTCAAATAGAAGGTGAGGAGGTCTTCCCTATCAGTAGACTAGGGGAGAAGCACAGGGGGAGAAAAGGAAGGAAGGAGATGAGGGGCAGGGCCACAGCTGGGATACAAATTGTAATAAATTACAATAATAAAAAAGAAGAAAAGTATATATAAAGGCAAAAAAATGCCAGCAATTGAAATGATATCATAGAGTCGTCTTTGCCTTTAATGGAAGTGTCAATCTCTCTTTCAGACTCAAAGTTACAGCTGAAAAGAACTGTAACAAATCATCTTTGCTGAGGGGCACTGGGTTAGTCACAGTTCTGAGCAGAGATTGTTTTGTCTGATATGCCAAGCAGGTGGTGATGTGGGAGAAGTTGGTTTCCAACACAGTTCCCATGCATTGGAAGCAAAGGGATCCTGCCTCAGATTTGTAAGAACTGTGTCCATACTGTGCAATATCAACACCTTTCTCCACAAAGCAACAAATGGGCAGTGCAGTGCATGGCCCTCACAGGGATGGGAAACGGTTCAGTAGAAACACAGGCACCCACAGCATGTCTATAGGAAGCGAGCTCCTGAGATTTCCTCAGCCTGTGTCCCTCACTGTCCCAAGAGCTTCACACTCCTTAGATCTGTCAGTGGTCTGTGTCCCTCTACAAAAGACAAGTCTATGCTTTTCCCTCCCATAATCAAACTCAAGTTGAAACCAAGGATTTGGCGTCCTATTGCTTTGTACCCATCTATACCTTGTGGCTCCAACACTCATTGTGCCGATAAGGAGACAGAGGCTGCTTTTGGGGTGCATACATTGCCAATATGTTGGGGTAAAGGTCTTTCACACTTAGCTGCAAAACCTCAGAAATGGGGACTCTCCCATGCTGCCAGGGTTACCATTTTAGGTGATAGCTCCCCTTGGTGTCAGGTCATTTGTGTAATTTAACTAGAACGTGAGAATGCACTTTGAATGTATTAAAATGGAAGGATGGAGCTGCTTTCCTCAACTGATGATAATCACTGGGCAGGGTGTTGTAATTCCATTCTTTATTTTCCTCTTGTAGGTTCAATAAATGAAAAGTTGCCCCAGCGAGAAGGTGCTGGAAAAGCAGGTAACTATCTTGAAGTGGATTTGCGTGATGGTCTATATGATTTGATATGATTGCCCCTTGAAATGACTCTCAAGTTATAGCTGAAATGTGTTGGAAACTGTTGCCCAGATCTTCCAGAAGCATGGACCCAGCCCTGCCTTCAGCTAGTCCCCTGGGGGTCAGGCAGTACAGTCGGGGGGTGTTAGCTACAGCTTGTGTGGGGGCCCCTGAGAGCAGCTCGGGAACACAGTGGGTATGTTGTCTTCAACTGTAGGTGTGCCAGAGAGCACTGTAGTGTATGAAGAGAACTGTGATGTAGCAGGTGGGTAATACTGTGGGTGTGGCAGATCCAGATGCTACTGTGGGTCTATGGAGACCACTATGGGCGTGCCAGGCTGAGAATGTAGGGGAATGAATTCAACTGTAGGTGTGCCAGGCACTACCGTGGGCCTGTCGTGGTCCATGGAGGTGTACTGAGTTCTATTGTAGGTGTGTTGTGTGACTCGGGGAGCGTCAAGAGAGGTACTTGGCAAGAGAATAGAGGTTCAGTATTTTGGCCTCTCACACGTTCCAAGCCAGAAGTTACTGAGGACACTGTGATGTGTGTCTATCTGTGAGGAGGCTAAAATGCTCGCTCTCTCTAAAACATATGCTCTTCAGAGCAAGAGAGAGTCGGTTGACTTCTTTCTTTCGGGGGCCCCTTTATGACTAAATTTATCTTCTTCTGGGCTGTAACCTGCCTACTGAGACAACGTGGGAAGATCTGCTCCTTTGTTCCTTGACCTTCCTCAGTTTCCCCCTCGGTCCCTGTAACACACATTCTGCTTTTAATCTTTGGAGTGATTTTCAAGATGAAATTAATTTTTTTTTAATATAACCATAGGCATTTCTCTTCCTTTTCCTGTGGGTTATAGTGTAATAAACCTGACAAAAAGAAGTGGTATAAAATGAAGACAAGTAGAGCTGAGTTTACTCAACCCCATTCCTGAGGCACAAATTGAAAATCTGTTGGCCAGGGACTGGGCTTCCTGCCCTGGAAGAAATATCTTTGTACTGCTAAGATACATGCATGGGAAAAGTACAGAGAGGCCCGTGGCAGATGCAGAGAGGCCTGGGGTAGATACAAAGAGGACACTAGCATCCACAGAAGCTTGAGATATACTCAAAGGAGCCCCAAACAGACATGGTCATCAGGCATTCAGTCTAGAGAACACTTGAAGGTTTACAGGAGGATGGTTTTGTGGTATAGTATATACTTGAGGAGGGACTATGAGTTGGCTTTGGGAAGAAAACAGAACAGTGTCCAGCTGGAACAGGAAGTCAAGAGAGGGCATGGTTTGCACTTAGAAGGAAGAAGTGAACTCTTTGGCCTCCATCCAGTCTATAAAATAACGGTTAGGAAGCAAGAAGTGACAGTTTGTGGATAGAAAGTTAGCCTAATTGCTGAGAGGAGGGAGAAGCAGAGGACTCTGCTGCCAGCTAGCATCTCCTTATCAGGATACTCACAAGGTCCACCAGACGACACTCTGGGGAGTTGGGGTGTGGGTACAAAATGAATTCAAGAACAAGCAGGCCTCTGGGGCTGAACTCCACTGCTCTCTGGAGAGGCACCCAACAGAAAGGATTGCTAATGAAGCAACAATCCAGGTTCAGAGAAAAAAGGGAGACATGGCAGAAACATGGAGGGCAAGTATACTTCCCCACTCTCTAGGCTGTGTCCTGTAGGCATAAGGCTATTGTGGAATTCAAATGCTTAATCGTAACGGTGTCCTCAGTTTAGGCTGAGTTAGAGCTTCCAGTGGGTGTGTGGCACTGTGAGACACAGCATTCCAAGGGCAGGTAGGGCAAAGAACCAACCACACAGGAGCCTGAGCTAGATGGGCAGGGCCTGGGCACAGCTCTACTTTCAGGCTGGACATCAACGATTCCCACCTCATTCTGGGCAGCCAGACATGCATTCAGTGAGCAGGGACCCTGTTATTTTGGGAATGGCTCACGAGGGTTCCCTGATCCTCATCAATACACACCAACAAAACTGTTTTTTTGTTTTTGTTTTTTGCCAAAACTCCAGGAGCCTTACACCTGTCATTTAAAGGCTTCTCCTATGAGCTTTTAAGATTTTTAGTATATTAAATTTGGTATACATGCATTATTATTATCATTTTATTTTCTTAGAAAAATGAGAATGAAAATGAAAAATAAAATGAAATGAAAATTTTCTTAGAAAATAAAATAGTTCAACAGTAGATTTTCCCATGTCATTGTCACTGCAAACATTAGGCTTATGTGTTCCATATAAGTCATATTGAGTTTTTGATGTTTGGATACCAAAGTTTTTTTTCAAGAGATTATTAAAGATTAAAGGTTTCAGAAACAAATCCCCTTTGCTGTCCTATAATCCTGGTGTGGGGCCTCTAGACAGCTGGAGGGTACAGTGGGGTCATAGCTAGCTGGGCCTATTGGCCGGCCCCTTTCTTTATGCTGATTCTGAAATGACTGTAGATATCACAATGTCTGTGGCAGACTGGAATGAAAACAGTAGGGAGAGAGTCGGAGATTTCAAGTGCCCCAACCACTGTTATGTCAAGGTGCTCTGACCCTGAGGGTCACAGGAATCCAAGAGGAGGTGGTCAGTAAATTCAGCGATGACCATCCTCCAGGAGACAGGGCCATTCCTCCCAGTGTCCATCCTGCCTTCTCACTGACCTCTTCACTAGCATGACCCTTCCCACACTGCAGCCTCCCTCCCATGCACAGTACTCCTGAGGGTCCTCTCCGCCTCCACTGCTAAGTGGCTGGAAGCACATGAGGGGAAAGGGAGGTTTGCTGGTCCATGCTGTGGCTGCTGAAGTGGTTCCTGCCTAGGAACATATGCAGGAATGGGGTTTCAGCTCCCACAACAACCCCCGTGGGTCTCCATCTTCTTCCCAGCCTCATGGCCTTTTAGGGCCTCCTGCTTATGGTTTTTCTGCTTGTTCTTTACTCCCCTATAATGGCCACTGCCTCGATGGGTTAGGCCTCCTGCGTGGGCATTGGCTTTCACATTCCCGTAGCATTTGAGAGTGAGAGTCTCTAAAGTAGCAGGTCAGTGTTGACCCCTGGGCCCCTGGGTGCTGCCTTTTGCTCCATGCTGGGCTGTGTTGGGAGGTTCTGGGGGTGGTTTGCTAATCCTGGGCTCCAGCCTGGATGCACACTTACTTAGCTTACTCTCATAATTGTAGTCTCCTTGCAAATCTTTTCCGTTCTGAATTCAGATGATGCGGCAGCCCCAGCATTGGAGACTCAGCCTCAAGGAGATGAAGAAGGTGAGCTGTTGGTGGGGAGCAGGGAGGAATAGTCAGGGGTTGGGAAGTGGTACCAAGCCATTATGGGTACCATGCCATTCACAACCTAGACACACAAAGGATTCTGCCTGCTGTTACTCCCTTGTGACTTTAGAGAGGCATTCTACACATAGAAAGGTCAGAAAGCAGAGACGGGTCAAGTGATGTCAAAGTGTGCTTCTATAGGATGCGCAGGTCTGGAGATGGAGACCAGAATGAGGACCATTCTGTGTATGATATGCCAGGTCCTTTTTGGAGAGTCTCCAAAACACACACATTCAGTGCAGAGAATGACACCCCAGGTGCTGTGCTCGACTACAGACTTGAGTTCATGTGGGTGTCAAGAAATCAGGTGGTTGTCCAGAGTGGGCTGGCTGCGTGTGGCCATTTCCAGTGTCACAAGGCACCGTTACTTTTTCTGGTGATTATACAATTGCCTTGGGGCTCTGCCGAGAAGAATACCTTGGTAGCCATTTTATTAATGGAAATGGATGCATTCAAATTTTTCAAAAACGTGTGATAACATGTGCCATTTTCCTACTAACATATCTGGTCTTTATGACAACCATGACAAGGATAGATCTCTGATGCTTACCTTTAATGGATTGTCTGTGACATTAGTCATGTTCTCAGGTCAAATGGAATCAGGCTTTGGGGAAAATATACAAAGAATGCACATTATGAAACAATGACAAAAGACCGGAGTACAGAATCCTACCTGCTTTCCAAAAACCAGCATGAGCCAGTGTGTACTGGGTTGTTTCTGGGCTCTGCCATATCAACTCTCCAGCCTGTAGAACCCCACTCCACCCATAAGAGTGCAGGGCTGCTTGTCTTGCATGGAAGGGGGTTCAAACCCAGGCAATGTGCAGGGTCTGTGTTCTTAGGACCAAATAATGACCCTGTCATGCTTAGTCAATCACCTTTTAAAATCAATATTAAGGGGATACTTTCCTCAACAGGATTATGTGAAAGTTACATTTTAAATATTTTATTTTGTGTTGAATCATTCAACTATGTGAGAACCTCATGTTACATGAGTAAGTGTTTTACTACATGGGATGTGTTTGTGCGTTAGGCTGCTTCCTTTATCTCCACTCCTGATGATGCTGAAGAGCATTCTGCGTACTAGGCACGCTACCACACCACTGAGCTACATCCTCAGTGCACACTGGAGTGCTTTATAACACTTAAAACCTGACTTCATCAAAACAGATTTTGGTTACATTTTTTAATGAAAAACATGTCTTTTGAATGAGATGCACAGAGAGGATCTAGACTAGACCCTCTGGTCAGATGTGGTCCATTGGCAGCTCAGTCTCCATGTGGATCCCTGAGTGAGAGGAGCAGGGGCTGCCTCTGCCATGAACTCAGTTGACTGATCTCTGATCACTCGCCCCTGGTTGCCAGGCCACAGAGGAAGAGGATCCAGGCAGTCCTGATGAGGCTTAACAAGCGATGGGCAGATGGCAAAGGAGGAGAACTCCCCCTTTCAGTGGACTAGGGGAAGGGGATAGAGGGGAAGAGGGAGGGAGGGTGAGAATGGGGGTGTTGAGGGAGGGGGCTTCAATGGGGATATATAATGAATAAATTGTGAAGTTTGAAAACCCAAGTGTTTAAAAATCTATATTGTTTCCTTTGTCGTGTGAATTTAACCATTCCTTTAACTGTTTCTTTTTCCAAGGAGCAATGTACCTTTATTTATTTTACTGAGTGGGGTCGGGGAAGGCAGGGCACCTGCTAAACTCCTTAGCTGAGGGACGCCATGCTCCCTGACGAACTGTTCTTGTTGTTTCTCTAGACATTGCATCACGTTACCCTACACTCTGGACTGAGCAAGTTAAGAGTCGGCAGAACAAGACTAATAAAAATTCAGGTAAGCTGTCACCCATTGACAGTCTATAAGGGGGTATTCAGTTTGGGAGTTTTACCTTCTGGAAGTTTTTTTTTTTTTTTTTTAAACAACTTTTTTTTTGTTAGATTCTCTGTGTTCTCTGAAGGAAGCCTGTGCAGCTGTATGGTGGGCTGTGCTTTTAGGCTTCATGGGGCTGGTTGGTGGTGAGCGCTCTTTTTGAGGTGGTTTCTGAGCTCTCTGAACACTTGGCTGTTTTAGGTTTAAGCCTCCAGATGTATGGATTGTACCTATTGTGGAACAGTAGACACAGGACTGATCTTTACTGCTTTGACATTTTGTAGACAAGCCATGAAGCTTGTTAGGGAAGCTCCTGGTTTCGGGAGTTTACGGAGCTCACTGGGTGGGTGTCCTGCTTGTTTCTTCTGGCCATTTGTAGAATCTGAATCTGTCCTCTGGGTTAGTGGATAGGCGGCCAAGGAAGGTCAGGGTGACCACAGGAATTTCCTGGCATTGACCTTGAGCACAGAGATGAGAGGCAGGCAGCCACTCCCAAGGGCATTCTGGCACAGAGTGCCGCTCTCTGGGCTGTATGCTTCCTTCAAAGTGCGTTTTTAATATAATACAGTATTACATATATAATACAGTATAGACTTGAGGGTGTCACAGCCCAGGATAGGAAGACTCTAAGTGCCTCCATATTGCAGCAGGAAGAGGACTGGCTTTCAGAAAGGCTGTGCCTGGTGTTGTACAATCTCACATCCTCAGGGACCTCTTGCTTGGGAAAGCTTGCTGACTTGGACTGCACAGGTGGGAACGGAGGGGCCTGAATGATGCAATCGAAGGCCAGTGGGGACTTGTAGAGTGAGTGCCACCCCATAATGGTCCCTGACCATTTCTTCCTGGCTCTGCCTCTGAATGGCTGAACCTCCTGAACCTCACCTTGTCCCTAATGGAGACTTTCCCCCTTGACTTCTCTGAGACAGGGTAGAACAGAAGGTTTCTCAACCGGTTGTAAGTCTGCAAATAGCAGGGAGATTTAAAATAATTCCTTTTTTTTTCCAGCAATGATTACCATAGGCAACCTTCCCTGTTGTTTTAGTTTTATTTCTGTTGCTGTGACCAACAGCAGCTTAGAGCAGGAACGAGTTTATTCAGCTTACAAATTCCAGGTCACAGCCCACCATTGACGTCAGGCACTCAACTGAGAAGTTGAAGGCAGGCCTGCTCACTGCTCCACACAGCAGTACCTCATGTCAAGGAAGTCATCTCACAGCCAAAGCAGTGTGGCGGAACCAGGGCCGGTGCTGCTTGCTGGCTTGCAGACTCTTATACTATTTTATAAGAGTCCTGGATCATCTGCCCAGTAATGATGCCTCCCAAAGCAGACAGCCCTCCACTAATTAATAATCAAGATACTCCCCCACGGATATGCACGCAGGTGATATGAGCTAGGCTGAGGCTTTTTCCTCTCAAGTCACTCAAGTAAAGCTACCCAGAGCTCCTACCGTGTAAAAAGTTGCCTGCATATGTCTTTCATAACCTCGAAAGCCAGGCTTTATTCAAAACTGTTGCCACACTACAAACCTTATCTGAAGCGGTCCTGTATCAAAGCAATTAACATATAAGAAAATAATCAAATTACTACTTGTTTCCAACTTACTGATTGACTGTTGGGTCTTGAGAGCGTCTCCTGGGAGAAGCACTATGGTTGCGACTGACTTTGATCTGAGAAACAGACAGATGACTGTAAATGCAGTCCCCAGCACTGTGTAATTTCAGGGTGCATTTTGTTATCCTCTGGGAAGAATCTCGACTCGGCCAGGTAGCATGAAGAACAAGCAAACCACCTCTCAGCCACCACTGCCAAAGCGTTGGACCGATTATAACTAACCTTCAACAACCGAGCAAGAGTTAAGGGTACAGAGGATTGAGAAAAAAAAAATGCCGCAAGGAAAGTTCTGTTTACATAAGCCATTATGGTTTGTTTTAAATTTCTGTATGTGAGTAGAATTCAAAACAGAGGCATTAAGTTGAGTTATAGATATGGGCTATGAAACTATTAGGTTTGCGTTTAACTGTTTTCATCTACTTTCTGAGGGTCAAAAAAGTAGCTCCCACATGGTCTGGTCGGACGTTGAGAGCGGTGTGAGCAGCAGAGCTGGAGGACCTATGCTCTGACCACTGTTAGAAAAGGTGACCGTTAGAAGATGTCTGTCTGGGTTTGATTTCTATTTCAAAAGCTGCCTTCACCTATAGTCACCCTCGACAGAGAGAGGTTTGTTTAACAAGTATTTACGGGATGGAAATAGATTGGCAACAGGGTATTTCCCCACATGGGATTCACCCCGGGCTGACAAACAGCACCTACAAGAGCAGCAATTTGTGAGTTATTACTTTGTGTTTTGAATGTCGGCTTGCCTTATTGCAAGTCTCGCATGTTCCTTTGCAGTAACTGTCAAACCGGAAATGCACAGCCTTCCCTTTATATGAAAAATATACACATAAACTAGCATTTCTACCACGAGTTGATACAGAAATAATACATGACTTTTAGTATAAAATCTGCAGGGTATTATGGTATATATTGTGAGGGAGGATGAGTGCAAACAAAAAGGCTTTAACATTTAGAGTAACAGCAGGAGCCATTCTTGCTCCTAGGGCTCCTAGTTTCTGAAAATTTACACGTAGTAGTTACATAAAAAATATTTATTTTCTAAAGTAGTAGAATCTTGTCAGCTTGTGCCTTCATGGTACCATTGTCTTGTTAAGCAAGCGAAACAAAAACAAAAGCAAGAACAAAAAAACAAACCACCAGACAAAACAAAAGCAACAACAACAACAAAAAACTCCAAATAGATAAATAACTAAAAAAAAAAAAAAAAAAAAAAGGAGAGAGAATTTCAGTACTGTTATATTTTGATTACTAGGCTTTTTCTTCTTGGTTGGTTCACCTAGTAAGAGAACCAATTAGTGTACATTAAATTCTAAATTTGCTTTTTACTTAAGAATGCATTATTGTTCAAAAATTTCCTGTCAATATAAAACAGAAGGTGTTCATTTCTTTTCGGTCTTGAATCATCTTATTATATGCTATGTTGGGGGTTGGTCGGGTGCTGCTGTGTATTCAAATGCTAAATACTGGGCCCCAACATCTGGTTATAGTACGTACAAGTAAATTCTCACGCACATCAAGCAATATTGTGTAAACTTTGCTCCCAATATCCTCTGATTGGTTAAGCAAATTTGTAAACAGCCAATTGAGGGGCAGAATAGAAACAGGCAAAACTTCCATGCCTGGGCTTGGGGTCTGAGGCAGGGACCATGAGGAGAGAAAGAAGTGGGGCAGAGAGAAGGAACAGATAGAGAAAGATTTGCTTTCACAGTGCCCACATTTAAACACTCTATGCCAACCAAAAGGTACCATTGGAGAGTCTTGCCATAAGGAATGTTGATTGGTTCAACATTATGTCAGTATTTTGCACAGCAGCCATTAGAAATAATTCATGAGCAATATCCTCAGTCCATAATTACCATTATGTGGATGATATTTGGCTGGCTTATTCTAACAGAGATCTTAGAAAATATGTTTGAGAGAGCAAATAGTCATAGTATATATATGATTGATTACAAAAGGTTTTAGGTAGGTTTTAAATATTCTTTTAATAATGTGCTTATTAACATGCATATTTGTTAAATGTATATGAATCTAGTCCACATTCTTTACTGTGGTGCCTATACAGTGCTTTTCAAACCACTGCCTGCTCCTTTAAAGGCCAGTCTAGAATACTAAAGAGGAGGCTCAATTTTTCTCTCTTGCATTGTCTTTTAACAGCGTCACAAAGTAAGTGTTATTCCTGAACCATGGGTACCAGTTTATATAGTGTTTGTTGCAGTTTGAATAAGAATGGCCCACATAGGTTCCACATGTTTGAATGCTTGTTCTGCAGTTGATGGAACTGTTTGAAAAGGATTAGAAAATATGGACTTGTTGGAAATGATGTGTCACTGGGGGTGGACTTTCAAGTTTTTTTTAAATTTTTTTATTAATTACACTTTATTCATTTTGTATCCCCTCATAAGCCCCTCCCTCCTCCCCTCCCGATCCCACCCTCCCTCCCCTTTCTGCATCCATGCCCCTCCCCAAGTCCACTGATAGGGGAGGTTCTCCTTTCCTTCTTTCTGATCTTAGTCTATCAGTTCTCATCAAAAGTGGCTGCATTGTCATCTTCTGTGGCCTGGTAATGCTGCTCCCCCCTCAGGGGGAGGTGATCAAAGAGCAGGCCAATCAGATTATGTCAGAGGCAGTCCCTCTTCCCATTACTATGTAACCCACTTGGACACTGAACTACCATGGGCTACATCTGTGCAGGGGTTCTAGGTTATCTCCATGAATAGTCCTTGGTTGGAGTATGAGTCTCTGGGAAGTTCCCTGTGTTCAAATTTTCTTGTTCTGTTGCTCTCCTTGTGGAGACCCTGTCTTCTCCAGCTCTTACTATTTCCCACTTCTTACATAAAATTCCATTCACTCTGCCCGACAGTTGGCAATCAGGCTCAGCATCTGCTTTGATAGTCTGCAGGGCAGAGGCTTTTTTTTTTATCAGTTACATTTTATTAACTCTGTATCCCAGCCATATCCCGCTCCCTCATTTCCTCCCAATCCCACCCTCCCTCCCTCATCTCCACCCTGCCCCTTTCCAAGTCCACTGATGGGGGGGACCTCCTCCCCATTCATCCGATCCTGTTTTATCAGGTATCTCCAGGACTGGCTGCAAAGTCCTCCTCTGTGGCCTAACAGGACTGCTCCTCCCTTGGGGGGTGAGGAGGTCAAAGAGCCAGTCATTGAGTTCCTGTTAGGAATGGTCCTTGTTCCCCTCACTATGGGAAACCATTTGGTTGACTTTCAAGTTTTAAAGTCCTACGCCATTCGAGTTGTCTCTCTGTTTGCCTCCTGGATGTTGTCTGGACACAAGCTCTCAGCTACTGCTCTACACCATGCTTGCCTGCCTGCTGCCATGTTACCT